TATGTAAATAATTTGTAATATGTCACAAAGCAGATTTTTTTAGTTTTTGAAGCCAGTAACACCAGATATATGGTGAGCCTGATTTCTTTGAAGGCTGTATTCTCTAAGGGCAGCATTTTCAAAGGGGCTGAGAACTTGATGAATATTCAGCTAGGCTAATGTGCTTTATGAAAGTGTTACTGTAAAGGGCAACGATCCTGAACACAGTTATTAAGGAAAATTACTAAGGAAGGCTATGGTGTTAGTTTTGTGAGGACTGGATTGTGTTTAGGGTGCATCTGGGAGTCTGAAGTTTAATGTAGCCCACAGGCTTTGGATCCATGGGATGGGATGAGGCTCCAGGGTCAGCACTGAGCAGCCCTAGAGATGCTCTATAGGCACTGGACATAGAGGAGCAGAGAGATGGAGAAAATGGTTTCAGAGCCTCACTCAGGTCCTAGGTGAGCTAGGAAGATTTCTAGCCTAGGCATTTCAGGTAAAGCCATAAAATCAGGTAGGCTACGTGTCTGTCTGCTCTTTAATAGCCCTACCTAGGCTGTTGTGCAATGCTGAATCAATACGATTAACTTAGTTGCTGCTCTTGAGACCCAAGAGCTCCATGGAATGAAAATTGCTCCTAGCAAAGCACAGCGATGTACCTGGGAGAGGAGCGTGGCTGCGCTTCTTCTCCTTTAATAAATAGGCATTTTAGAGTATAATCCTATGAAATAACACCATTTAATTGTGCGGAAAAGAAAAGAAATAAACTCAAACACATGCCAGAATGCAGGCTTCCTTTTGCCCATCCATTTATCTGCATGTAAATAAAGTGATCGTGTTATGAGAATGACATTTGGGCTGCCTGGTTTGGTTTGTTAAGCTGCTCAATTCATTGATAAACTGAAGTGTAGCCTGTGCTCTGTGTGGACTAACTTGAAAACCTGAGAAACTTTGGAAACTTGCTGCTCAGGGTTTTAGCCTAAAAGCTTTGGAGTTATTGGAAATGATTTTTCTGTTGAAAGAATCAGTCTTGGTTATTATTTTCTAATCCTGTTAATTCAGTGTAGTTGGGAAGAGAAATGTTTATTCTAAGCAATTAGTGCTGTCAGTCAGTTTTGTTTAATTGCTAAATAAATATGGAAACATTTGTAAAGCAGCACGGATTTAATTGTGACATTTCATAATGAGAAATTCGCTTGCTGTATGAAAATATGGAAAGGTGATTTTGTGTTATTTGTTTTGAACTGGAAAATGAAAAGCTGGGTTTGGGCTGTCACTAGTTTTCCATCCTGGAATCACTCCATTTTTTGTCCTGTCTCTGTGTGCTCATATCCTAAGCGCTTTTGCCAACTTCCCATCTCTCCGTAGCTTATACAGGACCATAACATTGAAGTTGCCACTATTTTGTTTGATTTAGAACTTGAAAAAAATTCTAGCTAATATTCAGATTTTTCTTTTCCTTTTTGGTTCTTCCTTCCAATTTCCTATTAATCTTTGCTTGCTTGTTTACAACCAGCTGATCTTCAGTTCAGTACAGAGAGTGACTTCCTATTTGATTATTTTATATATTTAATGGATCTGTCAATAGTTTTTGCTGGTAGGAGAAAACATCCAGATTTCAGCTGCAGAAAGGTAAAAGCAGGCCCTGCTTTCCCTGACTCCGTGTTCCCGCTGGCTGGAATTTGCAGCTCTGCTTCCTTAGGCATTAGTCCCTTCCAGAGGTGAGCATGATTTCTCAAATGCTAGGTTTAAAATGTAAGGAACAATTCTGAAATTATATATGAAAGCAAAAAGAGCAATCAAACACCAGGTTTTCTGCCCTCTCCAGGCTGTCCCTATGTGCTTGTGTCCCCTGAATGTGACAGGCTACTGTAGTGCAGGAGTTCTGCTGCAGTGGCAAGAAATCATCTGAGTGTCCTGATTATCGTAGCCTCTGTCAGACGTTAAAACTAAGGCAATATTTTTAGGAGAGGGAATGACTCTGCTGAAGCCATGGCTGTTACTTTAAAAGCTGTCCACAGTTATCAAAAGATCTTGCACGATTATTCCTGCATGTCTGCATATAACTTTGCCAAATGTCAGCCTCGCTCCTGGGAAATGACAGTACTGAAATCCAGAGGGATTTGCCGCATGTAAATACTTTGGAATTGCTGGAATATATAAAACGTAGGCCTGTGTAAGGACAAATGCATATTTGTTTTGGTATTTTGGGTTTAGGTTTCCGGTGCCGTTCATTTCATCGTGAACTTTCGTTTCCTGCGTTGCCGAGAATGAGATCATTATTGCTGTGATTCATTGCCGTGCCTTCMATTACCCGCAGATTACGAGATTATCGAGGCAGAAAGGGAGGGTTTTGACCCCTTGCGTCACGGCGCTCGGAGGAGTCTCTTGAATTAAATCTCCTGGAGAAAAGCTTTTAGATGCATCTCGCTTTGATTTAAAAAGTTCCAGTGACGGGAAATCAATTGCAGAGATTGGTGAAGTTGACTTAGAAAATCAGCAAGGAAAGAGGAAAAGCAGCTGAAATGGCTGAATTAGGGAGACTTTCTTTTTTTCTTCCCTGTTTGGGTCCATCTATAACCTAGGCTCCTTGGTGTTTATGTTCTGCTCTTCTGCATGTGTTTATCTACAATATCAGTAGCTTTCTCCCCCTTGGAGAACTTTTCCAGGCGCTGCCATTCTGTATATGTAAAAGTATTATTGTTTTCTTCCTGCTTCAAAGAAAACATTTATCTTACGATTATACAGTTTTCAAATACAAATTAAGTATTATCTGCAGTTTTCAGCTGTTGTCCTGTATTCTCCTGCACGGTTCCCACTCTGGAAAGCAGTTTGCAAACAACTGCCTGTTTTTACAACGACTTCCTGCTGATAATTGTGCTCGCAGGATTCCCAGCAAGGGCCAAGCAGCCCCTTGCTACTGCATGACTCAGGTTTCCCCTTGGCCCTTGCATCTCTGCAGCAGCCACTCGGCGAGCGCGGCTGCTGGGGCTACCTAAATGACCTCCACACRTGCCACGTTTTTACCATGGCCTCTGCTGGCAGTTTCAGTGGACACTTGACCTAACTTCTCCAAGGAGCAGAGTGACTGCAGCTTAAGCACCAGGGCTATAGCTCTAAATCACTGCAGAGCGACCTGAGCCCTGCAAGTGGGTGTCCCAGCCTTATTAGCTTTAATCTGCCTGCAGTGTGTTCTCCCTTTCTCCTTACTTTGCCCGAAAGATTGGATTTTTATTTATGTATTTATTTATTTAAATGTAATAAACCCCGGGCACTTGTGTTAAGTGCAGGTTTTCCACCTGTACTTTTTTTTTTATTTTTAAGAGTTTGGTGGGCATGAAGAATACTTTAGTGTGCACATTTTTTATGTTTTTACCTGGTTTAGCATTGCACATAAACCTAGATAGTGCTATTAAAAAGCAAACAGACATGCAGCCTRCCTGATTTTATGGCTTTACCTGAAATGCCTAGGCTAGAAATGTAGCTGTCTAGCTCACCTAGGACCTATGTGGGGCTTTGACACCATTCTTTTCCATCTCTCTGCTCCTCTATGTCCAGTGCCTATAGAGCATCTCTAGGGCTGCTCGGTGCTCATCCTGGAGCCTCATCCCATCAGGATTTTTTTCCTTACTTTTTTTTTGAAATTCCCTTAGTGAATTGAAGTTTACTATTACTTTAATATTGTGTGTAATATTTTCAGTAAATATTATATAAAATCTACAAATGATTATACAGTCTATAGATAATGGATTTTTTTTCAGAGCATTATTGGGACTTCCCCTGATTAAATACACTGCTGCGCTTCTTAATGCTAAAATTCATTTCCACCTAATAATATTAACATAATACGATGTACTGAATTTTGTAACAAATTTTCAATACTAAATTCATCTAATTTTAAATGCAAACTAAGGATTGAAGTGCTCAAGGACAAAACGTCATGGTGAGACAAATGTTTATACATAAACTGATTACATTATCKGATGCATTTCGCTTCCACAGCTGATATCTAGGGAAAATCGATGGTGCATTAGGCTGGTACCCTTTAAAAAGTATATACACTGATCCTTACCAAAAGGTATCAAATGATACTTAGGGAACGTCTGTTGTACATTTTTCTGTATCTGAATACAGGATTTCTTCAAACACTGCTCTACGGAAGGCCACAGAGGTGTGTTCCTGGTCTGTCTGCCTCTCTCATTTCCCTTCAACACTCTTTCTAATCATAAAACCAGAGCTCTTTTACAGCCCTTCAGCCACACCTGGCTTGCTGATACCCGAACCGGCACGTGAGCCCTGCTCTGACTTCAGGCAGGAAGCCACCTTTGTCCCTTAAACTCGCTGCTTTTTCTTTTTCCTTCTTCCTACATATTACTAAGACAGTGTATTTTTACGTGTGTTTAATCGCAATAAAATCTAATGGGAAGCCAGAGTGGTTTGGGCTTGTTCTGGCTAGGAGCGCTGAGTCCTTAAGGAATCGTGGACTGYGAGTTAGTCTTAGCACTGCGGCAAGATGGAGAGGGAAGCAGGAGCTTGGAGCTGGCTTTGCTGGTCCAAAGGAAGGCCTGAAATGGGATTTTCTTCCCACCTCCTCAGCAGATCCCAGCAGAGGAGGGCAGAACGCAGGGCAGTTTTCCTAGTCTGCTCTTCCACCCCCTGCTCTGTGCAGCGGGACCCTGTGGCCTGCAGGCGGGCGATACTTTCCAGTCTTAAATGAGGCACGAGGGTGCCCCAGCTCATTGTTATTTGTYGATTTGGGGTCTTTTTTAGGGTGCAGGACATGGTGGGTAGCTGCAAGGTACTCAAGGTGCTGGCCCATCCTTTGAGACCATCGTCCGTGCTGGCAGGATTTCCTCTGGAGCGGGACTGATGTTCCCCGTTAGCTCCCGAGCACCCAGTCTGTGTTTAACTTCAGCCACGTTTCAGTTAAACCCAGGCTTATTGCTTTCCTTGGGGGATTGGTAATAAAATTAACAAACATTTTTATTGAACTAGCATTATATTCCTTAACTTCTCCACAGACATGTTGCTCGATCTCAGTGACCTTCTGCAGGTATGGTATCTATTTTTATTTGTAACTCTTGATGAATTGTTAACATTTCATATTAATTGYAAGTAAAGTGCTGTCTCTATGGGCTATTTAGCACCTTTTGTATCAAAAAAAAAATCTAAATGGAAAATTTATGGGGTTTGTAAATCAGGGTAATTTTAAAACAAATTTAAACATTAAATATTGTTGCTTTTAACATTACAAATCATGCATCAGTGCTTAGTCTGATCCTTCCATCAGAGTCACTGCTGTGGCACGGGGTTGGATGTTCCATGTTTTGAAATTAACAGTTGCTGAAGACAGAAATAACTTTTTTTTTGAAGGTGAAACTGCATAAAGAGATTAGTGAGCTTGAGAGACACGCAGAGAAATATGGGCTTGCTCTGCGTGYGGAAATAGAAAGCTCTTTTTGACGTAAGCTGTCGTACTCGCTTTCTCCGTGTTAGAGCTGTTTTACATACAATGTGAGGAGGTTAGTTGTGTCTATTTTTGTCTTCCCAGCTGTCTGGGTAAATGGCATCCCTCTGAAGCCTATTTATTGCTTCAAGCAATCTGTGGAACTGCAGCAACCCGATGAATCTCCAATTCTTGAAATTACCACCTTCTTTTATTCCTTCCAAATTTCTCATTGAATTAATATTGATCATTTTTAGGCAAATATTGCATGTGTAGAATGAGAGGTTTGTTTTCTTTTAAACACTGGTCATTTTTTTCAGGCCAATTGTTATGAAATAGGATAATCACTGTAATATGAGGACTGTTCCCAGAATATGAAGAACCAGAGTTACTGTGTCTGAGGGGGAGAAGGGGGAAAGAGACTTTTTTTCCCCTATTTTTTCTGTACATTCCAGCTAGAAGGTTGGTGAGTTGGGTCATATGGGGAGCAGAGGCTAAAGGAGGGTAACCTAAGAGATAGGAGAGCCAGAAATGTTTTGGTAGTGTGGAAATAATCATTTTTGGAAAGAGGAAAAAATGGCAGCATAATTTGAATATTAACTGTCTGCAGTTGCTTTTAAAAGATGAATCTGAGTAAATGAGGATCTTGCATGTCACTATTATCTGTAGTGAGCCAGAAATAGTTCTTTTTAGAAATGCATAAACCCCTGCTTTTTCGGTCTTCTCCTTATATTTTTTATTTATTCCCCTGACCAGAAGTTGTTTAAAAAAAGAAAAAAAATCCCCTTTTCCCCCCACCAGGATGAACTATCTACACTGCTGAAATGAAGTGAAGCTACTAGATGATCTCGAGAGGTCCCTTCCAACCTTAACCACTCTGTGATACCTGCAAAGGGCATCCTAGGTGGTTCTTAGCTTATTGATGCTTCAGGTTCCTTTGAGGTCGGCAGCAGAGCGGCTGCTGCTCGGGCACGGAGCGTTGGTGGGTTTTGCTTTCCATCAGTCTGTGTTCCCAGATTGCCGGCCTAGCAAAGAGAAGGGATTAATTGGCTCTGCCGTGCGCTTACCTTGAAGTGTCTTTCTCAAGGACAGCTCTCTGGAGCTGGGATAAGGCTGTCATTGAACAAAAAGCAAGCAGTAGCAGTGGTATTATCTTCCCAAAACATTAACTTTCTTTCTTTTTTTTTTTTTTTTTTTTGGAGTTGTACATACAAAATACGTAATATTGGTCCAGATATTTGTTTTTCTTGGTCACAAATGATAAAGGTACTGAGTTCCTGTCAGGGAAAAAAGACATTTGAAAGACTAAAGAAAAAAAAAAGAAAAAAGTTACTGTTGAGTATCAGTAACTCTTGCTTTGATGCTACTTGAAGTAGCTAAATRGAGTTTTTTTTCTATAGGATTTGCTACTTGAGGCAGCTCTGCTGCTGCTGGAGGTGGGATTTTCTGAAGAATGCTGCTAAGTAAAAGCCTCATGGAGCCTCTTCATAGAGGCTGCCAAGGAAATTACAGACCCCCTTGAAGGACCTTCCAGTGCTTCTGGAGGGGGGAAAAGGCCCAACAAMCTTTCATATATCTCTTCAGCTGATATAAGGACAAAAGCAGCCTGAGAAGGATTTGCAGCTCCCAGCAAAAAGGATGAATGAAAACCAGCATAAAATTACACGGATGCTTCCAATTTTTTGGCATTTGAATGTCCCGACTTCTCTCCAAATGRAACTTGTCCTCTGTCCTAGGAGCTCCCTGTGGAAGTGTCAGAGTCGAAGTGTCTCTGGTGTGYTTAGACTTTGAAGTGTTATGATGTGAAAATCACTTCTGCAAACGGGGCTCCTTCCTCGTGCAGCGGGAAGGATGCCGCTGCATGGTGATTRCCTTGGAAGCACGAGCAGTCATTGCTCTCCTTTTGGGAGAGTACTCATTTGTGTTTTCAGATACTGGATTTTACTTGCAAATCTGGTCTTTAGAGAGGTCTATAATCAAGTCTTTTGTTTCCCTTTCTGTTACTCCGAGCTAACTGACAGGCCTTGCTTGTTTAGGAGAGCTGAGAAGCTTGTCCTGCCTTGGCCCAACTTTTGTAGAGCTTGGGTTTGCTCATCTGTGTCAGAGCATCTTTCCTCCTTCCACCCGCAGGATGGCTTGGCTGAAGTCTGGATCTCAGTGTGATAAAATGTTGTCTTTCTAATTGTGGGAAATGCCAGTCTCTTTCTCTCTCATTTAGCTGTTAAATGAGGCTGATATTACTGAAAAAAGGTTAGGCCCAGGCTCTTGGTAGCCATGTGAGGAAGGAAGATAAGCATCAGTGGATGTAAACTGAGATGATAGGTATCAAGAAAGGTACTTTTTTTGCCATAAGAAAGGCCAAGTGCTGGAGCTGGCTGCTTAGAGAGGGTGGAAGCCTCTGTCCTTGGAGGCCTTGAAGACCCTGAGCAACTTAGTCTGATCTCATAGGTGACCCTGCTTTGGGCAGCAGATTGAGCTAGAGACCTCTCTTCCAACCTGAATTATCCTTCAGTTCTAGATAAGTGAAGAGAGTGTCCAGCAAAATCTATAAACAGATCTAGATTTCTCTCAGTTTTGTTTTTCACTTCAAAACTTTACTCTCAAGCCCCCATTTCCATCTCTTCAGACGGCCAGGACAAACGGCTTCCTGTCCAGAAGCATCTTCACTCTGCTCTATTTTTGGAAACCTTTTTGAATCAGCATTGGTTTCCCTGACTCCCTTGTGTTTGCCGCAGATTATTCTTGTACTTTCTTGCCTAATTGCTGTTCTGAGGCTTGTTGTGCAGCCGTGGCGGTGGTGGAAGAGTATGAGGACAACGGCAGATGTGCTGAGCAGAAGCAGGGTCTTCTCTTCTTCGAGTCCCAAGTGACTGGAGCTTGAGTCGCTCGAGCTCAGGCTGCTYTGTGTGGATCCATCACCCTTCTTGAACTGCAAGTCAGCCCAGATGACTTTGGTTCCTGCTTGTGCTTTCGTGCATTGAGTATCTTCTGGGGCTAAACGTTTGGGTTGAAGCAGGGACCAAAAGAGAAGGCTTCAGCTTATTGTGTGGAGAAGGGTAAAAGGGAATAATTTTGCTTCTGATTTTCTTTGTTTTCTAATACTCTTTGTTCACTTGAAGATATTAACATGTTGACTGCATTTGCCTTTATTGCCCCTATGCAGATTCGTATGTTGATTGAGTTAATTGAAACAACCTGGTTGGGACCTTCAGGCGTAGCTGTAGTAGCAATGTTAATAATAAATCAAATAACCACAGGTGCCTCTTTCCCCAGCAACAGACATTCTCCTTAAAAACTCATTTGCTTTTCATGCCTGCTTAATTATTTAGGCAAGCAGCCATGGATGTTTCGCAGTGTGAATCCGCAGCGAACTCCGACTGCCCAGGCTTGGGCTTTCCACAGAATCACAGGATGGTTGAGGTTGGAAGGGACCTCTAGAGATCATCCAGTCCAACCTCCTGCTCCAGCAGGGACACCCAGAGCACGGGGCACAGGGCGGCATCCAGGCGGGTTGGGAAGATCTCCAGAGAAGGAGACTCCACAGCCTCCCTGGGCAGCCTGTGCCAGGGCTTTCCGAGGGACACAAGACCTGAATCCCACCACCCTTCATGGTTGTCCTGTGAGAGGCCACCCCTTGGTCCTGCTAAGCTTGTTTGAGAATTGCTTCCAGGGAAAGGGCATTTATTTATGAATTTAGGGAGCTTATCGACCGTATTTGCCTGAGCCTGCTTACAGCATTATTGATTGCTGCTGTCAGGAAGGTAAAACAATCTGGTAATGCAGTGAATGAGAGATTCTGTGTTTTCCAAAGAGTTTTAAATTCTGCAATATGCCAAATGGATCTACAGTTGGATTTCCTTCTTCCTGAAATGCAAGTAATTTATAATTATTTGCCAAAGGGGATGTATACCAGTGTTTGTGACTGTATCGGTCACGATGTGGAAGAAAAATACAGAGATTATGAAAGAGAAGCAGGTATTGAATGGAAAAAAGGATCCCAAGGACTCCTCCATGGGAGTGTCCTTTTACAGTCGGCATCTGATGACTGACGGATGTGAAGCAAAATGACCATTCCTTGGAAAATTAATTTACTGTGAAGGGCAAGGAGAAAAAGAAGTAGGAAGATATTTCTATCAAAGAGGTAACTAAATAATTGAAAGCCATCTCTAACTCTTAACTAAAGGAAAATATACCTATTGCAGGAGCAGAAATTAACTACTGGCAGGGGACCTAATCTCACCRAACATTAAGCTCACCTGTAAGAGCATAGGGGTAGAAATGTCTGGTTTTCCTGTRCTTTAGGAACTGTTTATGAAAATACAGATGCAGTACAGAGAGCACAGGTCACGTGAAAGCCTGTAAACCTTACACTTTATATTGACAATGATAATTGGGGAAAATACTTCTTATTTTTTTCAGTATGATCCTTGCAAATGAAGTAGAAAGAAATTTGTTGTCAACGTTAGGGCTGCAGCAATTCAAGTCTTAAGCCAAAGACATCCTTTTAGAAGGGCATATTTGTTTATTCACTGTGCTAAAGACCCATAAAACTAGGTTTTCTGCATGCAGATGTCACATGGTTCTAAATTTGGAGAACTGAGCTTTCTGTGGATTGCAGTATATGAATTTTCATAAGAAGTTCTTAGTGAGGGAAGGACTAGAAATTAAAATAGGCCCCTAAATTAATTCTTTTAATTTTCTAAGCTTAGGAGAATGCAAAAAGCATAAATACTAATGATGAGACCAAAGATACCTATCTATTTATTACTGATATATTTCATCATATATTGCACACTCAAGATATGATGCACACTGCATCAATTTGCAGTAGTTCAAATTGATGACAGTGGCATCAAATTTGACCGAAAGGGCTTTTTTTCCACTCAAAGAGGAGTTCATGAGCATCCCGCATGAGCAGTACACAACAGTCGCTCATTTCTGGCTGAGCTTTATGCCCCCTTTGAGGTCTTGTGCATGAGAAATGCCCCAGAGAGTGTGAGCATTTGGTAGCTTTTCTACATGAGAAATCTATTCTTTTTAGTTGCATCTGAAGTACCTCTTCATGCAACTTGAACAGGAAAACTGGAATCACTTAAATATCCTGCTGCCTCCTTGTGACTTTACGCTAGGATTAAAACTATGTGAGCTTTATGAAAGAAACAATATATAGGACATAACTGAGTGCACGTCCTACCTCCTTTCTGAACTGATAGTAACCAGACATTGCAAGAAGGCTGCACTTCTGATACAATCCCTTTGTGCCATTTCTATTTGAATTTATTGTTTTGTATAAACAGACTGCCTCCACCTTAAAGCTGGCCGTAAAACTGATGGTGTGGGTGAAGTGGAAAAGCAGGTTGGATTTCAGTGCACTGCTTCCCAACCAGACCGTGGGGCGAGAGACTTTTAAACCAAGGATAGGAAGATAAAAGTGTCTCGCAGGGCAATCTTCGAATGTGTTTGTCTCTGCTTTAGGTTTAATTCAGCTCCCACTTTGAATATTAGAGCATCACTTTAAAAATGTTTCCTTGTGTCGATTTGTATTTGTTTGTTCTTTGAGTGAATTTATGGAAATTTTGCTTGGGAGGAGTTTAATCTTAGAGTGACGTGGTTAGTTGGAGGGGACACATGAAATGTTTGGATATCCTGGCCAAAAAAAAAAAAAGGGCAGGAGGGAGAAACACTTGTCTGAATTTAAATTTTTGTTTTTGATAGACTAAATGACAGAACTAAGTTTGTGAAGCCTCTGATGGAAATAGCACATGTGCCTGGCTGTATTGAAGTAACTGCATTGATTTGTGCAGGGAAATTCTTCTTACAGGGAGGAAAAAAAAGATATGAGTAATGAGATTTAAGATGTATGTAGTAACTGGGTATAGTAACTAAGAAGGCTGGAATAGCAGCCCAAATCCCACTCTTTATGTTAATATTTTTAAATAAAGGTCGAAACAGCGTCCTTCCTTTGCCCAAACTTGCACTGAATCTAGAGCATCTAAAGCCTCCTGAAACACGGCGGATATTTGGCTTAGTGTGATGTCTGTTTTCTCTCTGTGGCACGTGGAAAGTTTCATGCTCTTGAATTACTGCAGGCAATGCTRGATTAAGCAGATATTTATTTTTTGGTATAAATTCCTGTGATTTAATAGCTACGAAACACATCCCTTGTTCAAAGGATCTATTTTGGTCACTTTGTCTCAACAGAAGAATATCTTGATYTTCATGGCAGGGAGGGAAATGTAGTAAAATTTAAGACTATAATGTTGTATTTTCTAGGCCACTCTCACCATTGGTCAGTCAAAGTATGGGGAATATTTGACGCTTTCCACTACATTACAGAGTAAATTAACATCATCTCTGCTCGACTGCACAATCACTCGGGTTATGGGATAATTTGAAGACTCCTTCAAAGTTCTCCTTGTTTGAGTTCACATAAAGAAAAATTGGTGTTAAAATTTTTCACCTAAAAGTTGAGTGCTAGGCTAAGTGAGAACATGTCAGGATTTTTAACTGCCTGGGTAGGAGCAGCTGCACGTTGRGGAGAAGAATATGCCTTTAAAGCAGTGTTTTCAGAGCACTCTCGTGAAAATGAAACGCAGCACCCAGTAACTGGGGGTTGTATTTCCAGGGGCTGGTAGAATAACCAGCAGCTCCGTTGTGTAATTGACTGTTTCAAAAGCACCATCRTTACCCGCACGTAGGAAAGAGAGGCAGCTCTGTGGCATAAAAGCAATAGAGTATATCCTGTCTTAAAGGGAAAAAACCCTCTATTTGTTTGCAGTGTAGGAGGCTGGAGTTTTTTATCCTGTCTGAATCCAGCCTTCATTTATGCCTTGGGGCAGCAAGGYGTGCATGGAGCTTCGTGGGAACGTTCAGGTCTCATCGGGACCTCAAGTCAATCCTGCCTTGCTGGCTGKCCGCAAAAACACATCTTAAAATAGTGAAATAAGACTTATTTAGACTGTGAAWTACAACTGTAGATGCCCATGGCGTCAATTAGGAAGCCGAGGATGGAGWGTAGCCCCTTCCCTGTGCTCCTCGGTGAAGGAGGGAGCAGGAGCAGGGCCCTGGGCCTGGCTTCGGCAGGCTGCACACAGCTGGGCTTGTTTTATTTTATTTTGTTACGTAGGGGGAGCTGGGAAATGTCCAACCAATGAGAAACAGCAAAATACCCTCCGGGCACCTTGCACCACTCCTGTCTCTGGCGCAGTTTGGTGTTGGGTTGTGCAATGCTTAATGACCCCCTCGCAGGACTGGGCAGAGCTGAAATTTGCACTAACGTGCCATTATTTGCTCGGGCTTTGCTGTGAGCTACRCGGCAGTCGATGCATACTGATCTTAGGCTCAAGTCTATTGAGTGCTTWAGTATTAGGTGATAACAGTAAAGTCCAAGGAATTAAGGCCACTGATGAGCATCGTGAACAACTTTTGGCCATTCGTTTTGGTATAAACTTGTGTAAATAATTCAACATTGTGCAGATTTTGACAAGAACCTATGTATTATTCTATACCTATGACTTGCATTATTTTTTTAAAGCAAGTTATTTAAGATTTCAAAAGTGATTTTTCCTCGCCACATAAATAGTCTATTAAAATATTTGTGGTTTAAAATGTAAATAATGCTTTTTGTCTTTTAATAGGTGAATGTCTATGTGCTGGGAAAAACTTTCCTTCTGCTGGCCAGAGAACTCTGCATAAATGCTCCAGCTATAGGTATTTTTTCGAGTTGACTTTTGAATATTTGGGTGTATTTTGTGCATGGTTACTTTTAAAAAACATATATATTTATGTGTATATGCATAGTGTTGTGTTTTATAAGCTTGTATGAAAGAAGGAACTTAATGAAGCTATAATCAATCTAGGCATAAAAGAGAGGCTTCTATGGGGATGTAGTGTTCCTCATAGAAGACTCCCTAGCAGCTAGATGCAATTTTCTTTTACAGTTAATTTTGTTGATTTTTCTGGGAGAAGTTTAGGCCATAATGAGACAAGGGCTAATGCATCATAACYTTGTGTTTTTTCTGCAAGCTTATACAAGCCTGACAAACCTCAGTTTGACAAAGATGCAGCATTAGATAAATATTTGCCAAACTTAGTATTTATCCATCACCTGTTGCTGAGATGATCAGCACTTGAAATACAAGTGGCTTGATGGAAAATGAGGAGCAACTTTTTTCAAGTGTGTTGATAACATTTTAATTAAAATGTTGTAATTGGAATAACGCACTGTGACAGCAAGGCAGTTTTYACCGTGTTCAAAGCTGTCTTTGGTGCTAACAACCTAGGCAATAGTGCGCACTCATCACATTTCAATCCTCTGCTAAACTTTGTCGCTTTAAGCAGAGGGAATTCATGCCAATTCCAGTGAAAAGGGCGAGATTACAGAGCAGCCTTGTGACTAAATAACCCACCTCTACTAAGGAATTTTTCCCCCGTATCGTTACCCACTCTCCCTCCCACTCTTTGCAGTCTATATAGAGAATCGCCCGTCTTTGTACTGGAGAACAGCACGTGCACATGCGCACGCACGCTCCCCTTCCCCTTTTCCCCCCTGCACGTTTTCTCAGCTGGTCACAGAACTGCATTCCTGCTTCTCCCTTCCCAGCACGGGGACTTGCCTGGCACATACGGAGCGTTGTCCTAGCAGCATCCGCAGAGCGCGGGGCGGGGAACGGCCCGCGGCCGCCCTGGGCAGCTGCCTTATTGCAGGCAGAAGCTCCCCTGGTTTTCAAGAATTCGCTTCCCTGCTCCTTTTTCTTTGTCATTTTTTTTCTCTTTTCTCTTTTTCTTTTCACCAATAATTTCAGTGCAGCTTTGTTTCCAGGTGAAAATTAATGTTATGTAACAGTGCAGGAGAAAGCAGGCAGTTCCCTCCGCTCTCTCTCATTAGATATGGAGGTACCAMTTAATGCACGTTGGGGGGAACACTGTTTTAGGTTGCTATTCGAGTACTCTCAGGGCAAGAAACAGCGCAAGAAACTTAGGAATAACACCCACTATTTCTCCCTGGCTCCTCCGTTACAATTGCCAGATACTTCAGGAAAACACCTACTTTTTTTACTCTTCTTTGCGAAAACTAAAGTATAGTGGATATAAAATGATAACTGATAGTGTATATATAGGAGAGACTACAGGTGTTGATAGAGGAAAAAGGCCAGCTGTTTCAGTAATTTTGTGCAGACTTCCTGCATTGGTACATTACTGAGTGAACCTGGACCTTTCTCTCCTGTCTGCTCATAACTGGGAGCCCCTACTATGTAGTGAGATGCGAGGCTGGCAGTGTTAGAGCTCTCAGCTTAACTGGCAACACAGCCCATCCCTGTATTAAGCCTCAGCTATGCAGCTGGACCCAAGCTGCCCAAGGCTGGTGCACTCTCACAGGTGCCCAGTGTCAYTGCCTAGCAAACAGTAACTGCAGATGATGCTAAGAGCAGGAGGGGAGTGGAGAGCTTAAGCTTTCAGAGACAGAGCTGTTTTTAGCTTAGGCAACAACACACACAAGAAAAGCCTGAATTTCTGCATGGGGCAGCTTCCTTCTTCCTGCTGTGCAGGAGTTGCAGGTACCTGCACAGGGAAGCTCTGCATTAGTGGCAGTAGGYGTAGGCCTGGTGCCCATCTGCATAGGGGGCCCAGAGCAGGGCATTTTCACACTTGGTAACAGTTTAACAGAAGCCATAAAATCAGCAAGGATCAAGTACACAGAGTTTAGGGCAAGTAAAAATGTTTTATATTTCACAGATTCATAAACTGCTCTAGTTTAGAACATTCTGTTTAAGTCAACTAACTTGCAGACTGCAGCTATCTATATACAAAATAAATGCACAGTACGTGCAAAACTTTACATTTCCTCTGCTTGTTGCAGTCTTAATTAAGTCAAATAGCTTATGAATAAATAAAATAAGATTAAATTCAAGAGCATTCCTTCACTTATTTGATAGCCTGATGTAGTAGATAGGTAAGTAGCATAACATTCCATACTGCTGGAGAGTTCTGTAGTAAAACTGAAAAATCCCTTTGTGTGCATAGCAGTATTGGAAAACAGAGTGAAATACATCATGCATAGAAGATGAGCTCAGGTATCTGTCCTCCTTGTACTCCAGTCCCATTCGTACTGTCCGAGGAGCACTGGAACTGGAATGTCACTTTGCCACATTGCACCTCAGTCATTCCCTCTTGCCCAAAGTAGCTGAGTTCATTGCCATCGAGAATAGCACTGACATTGTAAAAAGTGTCTTGCTCAACCTGCACGGGGTGTTCGAACCACACGGAGAACGTGTTACTAGATCCGTCAGAGGTAAACTTGGTCAGGTTTTGTGCCAGGACCACTCCTAAGCGTTTCAGTTCAATTTTGACACTGTATTCAGCCTTGCCACAGCTTGACCCATACAAACCCAGTCCCGCTATAAATATCCGTTTGTCTACGGCAAACTGAATACTGTCACAGCGCCCTCGGTACCTCCACTGGTTACTGCGATAGGCGGACGACTGAAAGCGGTGGCATCGCTGCGGTACCAGTCCTTTCCTTTTGGTCAGTGGGAACTCCAGTTTGGGTTTATTTGCAGCTGTGTACCATAGGAATATATTGTGAGTCTCCTCGAGGGTGAGGATGTCTGACTGGGCCGCCCCGTTGGCAAACTCCTCCAAAGTCATGGTTGGAATCCGCACCAGGTACAGCGCTTTGCCCAGCACGCTCCTCTTGTTCCGCGGCGTGGCCGGCAGCCCTTGCCTTTTGCACTCGGCCTCTGCCCAGTTGAGGACGGCCTCGAAAACCACCACCTCCTTGGTGTTGAGCGCCTCGCGGGTCACGATGATCTCCAGCGTCTGCTGGTCGATTTCGCAGAAGCCTTCGGACCTGAGCGCCATTTCTGCCTGCGCGTCGATCACCTCCCAGCAGCGCTGCGTCAGCTCGGGCTCCTCGAAGAGCCGGCTCTGGGASAGCAGCACGCACGCGTTCTTGGCCTCCAAGCTCGTCTCCAGAAAATTGACGCAGGCCTTCGCCAGGGCCGGCACGATGTACTTCTTGGCAGCGTACAGCGTAGCCAGAACCGTGTCGGCTTCCAGGTCGATCTCATCACTGTACATGTATCTAGGTGGGGAGCGGGGGGGAAAAGGGCAAAGGGGAAAAACAAAGAATGAAAATCTATGTAGTTTCTTAGGAAGAAAATGAAATGCATCCCCCCCCCCACAATAATCTATAGGCTACAGGCAGCATGAGATCTGACATTCGGTGTGTGTCAGCACACCAAGTAAACAATAACACATGGGTATTGCGCAATGCCAATTAGGAGAGGGAGGTTTGGTAAGCTGCTTTGATTATGTCCACGTAATTAGTAGGCTTGTAGCGGCCACTTACTTTAATAGGATTAGAAAGGCTGCAGGTTCCACATCTGGTATATGGATTTCAGATTTGACCTCTGCAAGATCACCGTAAAACATAGCGTAGAAGACGGAGCTACCAACCGCCAAGACGTACTGCAAAACAGGGAGAGAAGCCTTAGGATGAGGCATCGGTGAGGGATAGTAGGTAATTTTGGTAAGAGCTACATTTAGGGAGGCTTGGAAGCTGCCATTGAGACAGGGAACTGTCTATGGCAGTTGTCTTTAAGATGTGCACGAATTATGTCTGAGATCAGATGTAACCGTAATTAGGAAGAGGTAGCCCTACTTCTATGGAAGGAGAAGGGGCTCTGCGCAGCAGCACCCGCACAAACCTTATGGGCAGGAACTTTCTTGGAGGCGCCGGGCGGGCCCACGATGAAGTGGACGTCAGCCATGAGCTCGTTGTTGAACATGAGCGCGTTCCTGCAAGTTCGGAGGGGAGGGAAGAGGCCGGGTCAGCGGGCGCAGCCCGGCACCGTCCGCCCGGCTCCCTGCGCAGCGGCCCCGGCGCCACGTCCACATCCACGCGCGCGGCGCGGGGCCCGGCCCTTACCTCTCGCGCAGCGTGGGGTGGAAGGACTGCCAGTTGGCGCTCTCCAAGTTGTTGTTGTTGAGGTTCTGGAGCTGGGGCGGCGGGGGCGGCTGGGCGCTCTGCTGCAGCTGCAGCGCGTTCTTCTTGCTGTTGGCAGCGGCGGCGTTGTTGCTGTTGGCGATATTGGTGTTGGCGCTGGCAGGGTAAAGTTCTGCAGCCATCTTCCTCTTGAGGGCCAGCGGCACTATCTCACAGCATGCTGGCACCTTGCCGTTTGGCTTCACGCTCTTTTTGGACTTCTTTAAGGTCTCTGGAAGCAGAAGAAAGAAAGTCAAACACTTCATGATCCTGCCATTGAGGCACCCGCGGGGCAGTGGCATAGGCGGCCGGGCTGCCAGCCGCTCCCGCGCCGGCCGCAGTCCCAGTGCTTCTCGCCGGCCGGCAGGGCGGCCGCTGCTATTTTATTTTTAATTTTTTTCCTCTCCTCTCTTTGGCTTTTTTTTTTTT